TTTTGAGACAGGATCTCATTCTGCAGCCCCAGTTAGAATACAGTAGTGTTAACATAGCTCAATGCAACCTCCAACTCCTAAGCTCAAATAATCCTCCTGCCTCAGCCTCCAGAAAAAAATGTTTTTAAATATATAAATGATTTCAGAAAAAGCATGGTTTACCTACATTTTTCCAATCCCACAGTCTTACACGGTCATCTCAATTGTTTTTATCTTTTTCTTTTTTTTCAGTTTTTTTTTTGGGGGGGGGCTGGGGCTGGGTTTGAACCCACCACAACACCCAGCTATTTTTTGTTACAGTTGTCATTGTCGTTTTGGCTGGCCCAGGCTGGATTCGAAACTGCCACCCTCAGTGTATGTGGCTGGCACTGTAACCACTGTGCTACCGGCACCAAGCCTTGCCTAAATCTTTAACTTGGGTTTCTGCTTAGCCACATCTATCTTTTAAAATCCATAAATTTTAGAAGAAAAAAGCAAGGTTCACAAGTAAGGGAAGCAAGTTTTAAAATTCAACAGAAAATCCCAGTTAAACTAAGTGCGAATACTGATATAATCTGTGTACAAGGGGAAGCCCTGGCATTCAACTTGAAAAACATCTGAAAAATTAAGACTAGAATTCAGCTCTCTCTTAGCAAAGCAAGCATAAGTAAGACTAAATTTCCTACAAAAGACTCATTTTTCTTTTTAGTCTAGATTTTATGATTATTCTGTATTTTTCTTCTATCTTGGTTCCAAAAAGACTTTCCTGATTGTGGTATTAAATTAACAACTAAAAAACCAATTAACCATTTTAACATCTGCTGGTTCAAATAGTTTGCTATTAGTTAACAGGTCCATTAACTAATAAGCTAGTCTCTTCTCAAATATATAGAAATGCAAGAAATGAGGCCATTATACAAACTGCCAAATTAACTGTTAAAAGTATTTTACTAATAACTGCCGTATCTCCCCTCAATAGTTAACAAGCATATCAAATGTTTTTTGCATGTTAATTAAATCATTTAAGCACTTAATTTAAATACTAGTACAATGTTATATACTTAGCACAAAGTTTCTAATAAAATGCTTTGAATAAAAATTTCTTTAAGTTGGGTGTTGCCTGTGGCTCATTTAAGTAGGGTGCCAGCCCCATACACCGAGGCATGGTGGGTTCGAACCCGGCCCAGGGCAAACTGCAACAAAAAAAATTTTTTAAGTCAGATCTTTATTACATTACCTGCAACCTTTTAATATTAGCAACAAAAATTTATCATTTAATGACTTTCCATAAGAGAAGAGAAAAATCAGCCATAAGACACAAACTACATTACAGGAGTAACACACCATCTGAGCCACTGCTAAACCAAGCAAACCAGATTTTAGCTCCTACTTCACATTCCTCCATGCAAAGGATCCGTGGCAATGCATCATGAAAAGGCAGTAGTAGCCCAGGGCAGTAACTCCTCAGTCAAACCAAATTCCTTAATCTTTCACAGAATCTTGCCTCTACTCTCAGTGTGTACTCCACAAATCAAACTTGGCTCCTGAATGGAGAAAAGTTAAGTCCTTATTCATAAAGAGCTACAAAGAAATATAAATGTTTAATCTTGTATCCAAATGATACTTCAAAAAAAGAAACAACGAATCAAAAAATTGGAGTTAAAAAAACTTAGGAAAGGGCAGTGCCTGGGGCTCAAGGAGTAGGGCCCCGGGTCCATAT